TCTCAAAGTAAAAAATTCTTTTTAAATTAAAATTACTGGAAAGTTCTAGATTCAATCCACAGGACCTAGGGAAGGGAAACACAAGGGAAAAAAACAATGCATAAGTAAATATGTAGAAAATAGGGAAAACAGCTAAAGAAATTCCCTAGAAAACAAAACAAAAAGATAAAAACTGGGTATCAGAACAGAAGAAAAATTAAAGAGAACCAACCCAGAAAGACCAAATCCCGACTTCCGGGAGAACATGGCGGACAGATAGCAGCAGCTACGGAGGCTCTCTGTAAGACCCAGCTTAGAATCCAGGAATGGTGCGGAGTGAGGAATCCTAAGCAAGAGAGGAGATATGCCCTGCTGACCCAAGAACGAACTGGGCTGAGAGAAACTAACTGGGAATGCAATCCTGGTGCTATAACAAGAACAGATAAAGCCTCAGCGTGGAAGCTGGAGCCTGCGCCATTGGAAACCGCCATTTGGGTTTCCTGCTGCCGCGGCTGCATCTGAATCGGCTCAGCAGGGAGACAGACGCTCGAAAGCTCTGAGAAGGGAATCAGTGAACTGAGTTGAGAGCAGGACGGGCAGGGAGCCGCGCATCGACCTGTGGTGAGTCAGAAAAACTGGGACTCTTCCACAATCTAGGAGGCTCCAACAGAGGACATTCTGGGACCGGGCAGACGTGCCGGAACAGGGCACTGTAGTGACTTCAGTCACTACATCCCCCTCTCAAGCGGGACTGGTGAGCAGTGCCTACCTTATGTAACGCTGCTGGCTGAGACCCAGTAGGTTAGCACAGCTCAGGTCCCAGCGCCTGAAGGTGACCTGGAGGGGCGGGCCCCACATGGGCTGCCTGGTCCATAACTCCGTGGTGTGCTGCCGTGGGCGGGAACACCTAGCCAGCGCAATTCAATCAGAGTGTGGCCAACAGGGAAGGAAGCTGGGCCTCCTATATACACTTGCATATATAAGGAACAAAAAATATGGGAAGAGGCAGCAACAAGAAAGGCCCCTCAGGCCCCAATCCTGAGAAACAGGCAATAGTGGACACCACATCAATAGACATAAAGCGCTATCTCCAGAGCCTCATAGACGAGTTCATAAATGAAGTTATTAATGACCTGAAGCTAGATATAAGCAGAATAGTTAGAGAAATGCTAAGCACCACCCAAGAAAAAACAGATGGTGGAATGGAAGAACAGAAAAAAAGGGGAGAATTGTTTGATGGAGAAAATAGAGAAAGCATAGAATACGTGAAGCAGGTTCAAAGAGACTACCAGGAAACTAAAAACTCTATCGAAAACTGGCATAACAGCTTGAAAGAAACTAAGGACAGAATATCTGAACTGGAGGGCAGATTTGTAATATGGGAGAATGAAATGAAAAACTTCTTAAAAATAACAAAGAAACAAACAGCAATAATACAAAGGCTAGAAGATGATAGAAGGATCTATAACTTAAGAATCAAGAACATCAAAGAAGAAGTAGGGACACAAACAAATGAACTACAAAAGCTACTCACAGAAATAATCCAGAATTTTCCTAATTTAGCAAAAGGTAAAGATACACAGATGTATGAGGCATACAGGACCCCAGCCACCTACAACCCAAACAGAGCAACACCCAGGCATATAATAATTAAAATTCCAGAAATCCAATACAAGAACAGAATATTAAAAGCCGTCAGAGACAAGAAACAGATCACTTACAAGGGAACACCCATCAGAATTACAGAAGATTTCTTGGCACAAACCATCAAATCACGAAGAGCGTGGGGGGAAATAATTCAAGCTTTGAAAGATAATAATCTCCAGCCAAGATTGATATATCCTGCACAACTATCCCTGGAAATTGATGGAAAAACAAGGTGCTTCCAGGATAAAGAGGAACTAGGGGAATATGCAACCACCAGTTCAACTCTACAGAGAATACTGCAGGATATTCTAAGAAAAATACGAAGAATCCAGAAATAGTGGCAGAGAGGCCACAATGAATGGACCAGAAAACAAAATGAAGAAGACAAACTGACAACTAATGACAGAAAAAGAGCTCAACAGAAATGAGGCAGAGAAGCTTGGATGATAGGAACAGCTATTTTGGAGAAAATGACATCTTAATAGGTAATACTGATTTAGTATCATCTTGTTTTGAAGTCCCATCAAGCTTTTGTTCTTCTGTCTCCATTCGTCTAAACAGGTTGTATCTTATTGGATTTTATTATGTATGATAGTATAAGCAAAAACTTTTATAGACAAGGAGATTATACAGAAACCATTGTTCATTTTCTGTTAGTTGATTCAAAATACCCTATAATACTGTCATTCTCTTAAATGGTTTTACATTGTTTTGATATATTTGATGCTACAGTATACAAAGTTATACTCGAAGATTTCAAGGAAAGAGACAATACGGTAACTACTTTTATGTCGGGATTATCTTGTGGTGAAACACTATTTTGCTTAAATGGTTATGTTTTGATCTGCGCTGTTTTGCTGTTATGCCCTCTTTTATCTCAATCTCCATTTTATTATTTACTTTTTTATTTTTATCCTTTTAATTAAGGGAAAAATAAATTAAAAATAGCAGAATATATTATAGTAACCCACTCTGACTCTCCATTATCTTGATTTAAAGCCCTGTATTGCTCTCACCATCTTGTTTGGACTGATGTCCCTCTATTCTGTTGTGCTTGATAGTACCAGGTTCGAAAGTTTAGGCAACAGCTGTGAAGATAGTGGGATTCATTATGACGCCCATTCTGGCTGACTATTATCTACTTTTGAAGACCTATAATGTCTCCAATGTTTTGGTTTTGCTGGTTTTGTTCTTTACTGTTTTGTTCAATTTTATTATAACTGATGATATAGGCAATTCTATTAGAGATAGCGGGAGGCATTCTGGTAACCACTGTTGATCACCTTGTATTATGCTTTTACATTATCTATTATGTCCACCCTTTTGATTTGACTGACTCTGTTCTGTTATATCACATTTGGTTCTACTCTCTTCCAAAAAAGTAGTAAGAACTGTGGGAGCAACAAAACCCAAAATGAGTAATTGTCATTGTACAAAAGAGAGGAAAAGAAAGTACTCTAAACAATATAACTGCATGTATATTTAAGTGTGTAAGATAGATAATGATATTACTGAGTTTTGTTGGATCATTGAACAGAACTGTTTATAGTCTCACTGTTGGAATGTCCACTTTATAAGCTTTAATTTTGTAACTTGAACAATTATTTCTAAGATGACAATATGTAATCTATTAACTAGTGATTTCCTACTGTTTATTTTTTTCTGTAAATCTGTATAACTTGTACCCTTTCTCTGCTTTTTTTCTTTTTCTCCTTAAATAAAATTAAAAAAAAAAGACCAAATCCCAATGGACAAAAGGTTATACAAAGAGAACATGAAAAACAGAGAATTACTGAAGCAACAATAAAAATAAATTCCCTAAACTAAAGAACTCACATTTTGATGTTTCCATTCCAATAAATGAATCCAAAAAGTAGCTACCAAGAATTGGGAGAAGGGGCTGGGGATTTAGCTCAGCAGCATAAACGCCTGCCTTCCAAGAGCATGGTCGTGAGTTCAATCCCTGGTACCGGTTTAAAAAAAAAAAAAAAAAAAAGAATTGTGAGAAAGAACAGGGAGTGACTACTAATGGGTCTCACTTTTCGGGTGATGAAAATATGCTGAAATAAGATAGTGGTAACAGCTGCACAACTCTGACTACACTAAACACCAAAGAAGCATATGTTTTAAAGGAATGAATTTCAAAATGCATAAATTCTACCTCAGTAAATATATTACAAAAGAAAAACTATTCATGGCAACATGTTAAGTAAGATACTCTAGAATACAGAAGGGATCTTCAAGGACAATTTTTTACTATGCCCCAATAAAATTCAGTAATTTCAACAACAGAAAAAAAAGTATTTCTAATATGAAAGTACAAGTTACACGGAATTAATACAAACAGTAATGGATTCCACAAAAGATCAAAGCTAACAGCAAGTGAAGACACAGGGAATTTAGGTCATAGACATTACTTGAAAGCTCACAAAAGACACTTAGAAGAAGGAAATGAGAGAACTAACAAAAGTAGCTCTGAACACATAACAGATACATGTCTATGACATGTTTGGTCATAAATTCACACTTCGTCTCATATAACCCACAGGGTTCCTTACTACAGTCAATATACTGCCAGGACAAGTATTTGTCAGACACCAACTTCTAACTTTTTATTTGGCCTCAAGACACCTATTGAAACACCAAAGTCTCACCAGTTCCACTACCACTGAACTGCTGTGATTCTTCTGAAATAAAATTTTTTTGTTTTATTTTGTTTTTGAGACACAACTGCACTGTGCATTGCAGGCTGGCCTTGAATTCATGTGGTAGCCGAGGTTGGCCTTGCACTCAAAGCAATCCTCCTGCCTTAGCCTCCTGAGTGCTGATATTGCAGATGTGCACCACCACACTCAGTCCAAAAACAGGATTTTTCTACTTTTCGGTTATAATACAGATCCATCTAAAATACACAGATCCTATTTCCACCAACTACCCATGCTAAATACGCCAAACATTTCTCCTTTTCATATAATTACCATATGTAAATCATTCAGACTTGCCTACGAAAAGTACTTTTAAAACTGAATGATTTGGGGATGACAATGCTCAATGTATATACCATTGTTGTCCTCTGACATCTTTTGAAATTTTCAGTTATTTTTTTTCCTCCTCAAAATAAAATGGATTTGAAGTAAAACAGATTAAATTGAAAACTATTCAGATTTCACTCACAGCTGACTTTTAAACAGAAAGTGCTTCCCTGTCTAAATTTCACTACTGTAAATAAACATCACTTTAATGCAAAATTATTAGCTATACTTTCAGGTAAAACCTGAGAATGTACAGAAAATGAACTTCACATATTAGTACCAGGACTTAAGTGAGAGATAAAAAGGTGAAAACAACTAGAATAATGACAAAAATGTACTTACTGCCTCAAACTGCAAATGGCTATCTTTTAAGAAATTTTGGATTTTGTCCTTAGGTAAAATACTGAATCGAAATCGGAGGAGATCCATTTCTTGTTGAATGAACCAACGTCTAAGATCTTCACTGAAATAGAAAGAGGAAATTATGAGTATACATTTAAAACTCTACAGTTTATTAACACAAGCAATTTCTATGAAATGAAATTCAAAGACAAGCAGATGCCAACAAACAGCAGTTAAAAGCAGTCAGGCTCTTTACAGTGATGAAGAGATAAATATTGTACCAGAAACCACAATACTCCAAGCATGTGTTCACCAGAAGTTCAAGGGATGTTATAAACCTAAAATTCAAATACAGAGCACTTTGAGCCCACCTGCTTATTGAATAACATAACATAGCTCCTTACATTTAACATAACTATAAAAGAGCTGTGTACCTTCAAAGAAAATGGGCTGACATGATTTCATCAGAGATAAGTAAACATCAAATTTTTTTAAAGGTAACTTTATCTCTAACTAGACGATGACCATTAAATTTTGAAAAGTAAAATTATGCCTTACAGACAAAATATAAGTTTTTAAGTATGCACGTAATTTATTCACTATACAGGTTACATATAATATATATGCTTATTTAAATAAGACCAAAGTTGATGAATAATCTCTCAATTTTGACCCTGAAACAGTAAGCAAGTCAAGATTCTCACTGAGTAAACCTACTAACAAAGAGAAACGACTCTATATATTTGGCCAAAAATAAGTAAGAGTGAAAAAAAAAAATCAAGATTTTTAAAAAAGCAATTCCTTCTCCCTCTGGGTGGCACTATCGACTTATAAAAACCAAGTACTAATAGAAAATATCTAAATCTATTAGGCCTATACATCTCAAATTCCAAAAAACTTATATCAAATTCAGGTATATGTTTGATTAATTCTCATAAATACTATCTTTTTTTGGAAAAACATAAAAGTCCTTATTCCTAAGGATACGTTTCTCATTTTAAATTCTACATACAATCACTCCAACAGTTAAGTGGTTTGTCAGGCAAAATTTAGCAACAGAAACTTTTTTCAGTAATTTTTACTAAACAACTTGTTTCAAATACTTCACTATAACAATGTTCAACCCATCACACACTGGTTCCCAAGTTTTCCTATGTTTAGTGTATGTCAGCTTCTTGTGTCTCAATTCATAGCCCAAAACATCAAATTTGACTATGAGAGTACAAACATATACTCACGACTGACAATAAGCAAGGCGCAAAATAAAATGAGAAATATGATCTTTTCTTCGTGGTTCGTATTCATCTTCTAAGTTTTCCTTAAAAGTGACATGAATAAAATAAATTCATTAGAATGATAACGGTATAAGAAATTTTGCATAAACAAAAATGTACAAAAACACATTTCTTTGGTCTTAGGGTTTTTTGTTTGTTTGCTTGTCTTGCTATGTAGTGAAAACTGTCCTTAAACACACTTTTCTAGCACAGGCTGGCCTCAAACTCATAGTGACTCTCTTGTGTTGGCCTCTCAAGTGCTGGGATTATGGGTGTGCACCACCACACCTGGCCAAAAACGTATTTCTTAATATAATTACCATTTTATTAAAATTTCAATCAGGTGAAACTAAGAACCGAAACGATCTTTTGAAAATCTCTATCTGGACCTATTTTCCTCATATCAACTCCTTTTTCTTAATTTCTTTTCTCACATACCCTTTACTCAGGTAAAACATTTCACCGCTTCAGCCATTTCCTACGTCAACCTTCAACTCTGCCATAGTACAATCTTCTGGCTCCATATCAATCACTCCAGTATACCATAGGTACCTTCATTCAATCCACATTAGTCTTTATAAAAACCTTGTGCCTAATACAAAACCTTTCCCACAACTGACATTCAGTAAACACAGACAAACTAGAGGCATTTTCCTTTTACTTACTCTGTAGGAAAACTTGAGCTTTCGAATTTCAGCCTCCAATTTACTCTGATATTGTTCAGTTCCTTTCACATAGCTCACACCAAGATTTTCAACTGTTTTTAGTACTAAAAGAGGGAAAAAGTATAAATGCAAGATAACTTTAGAAAACTAAATTCAACACAAAATCTCCAGCAGTTCTCCAATTACTTGTTTTTAGAATATGACTGTTCAGTTTTACTTTCTGCAAGTACATTATAAACAAAACAAGAATAATCTCCACCTATATGCATAAACTATTCATGCCTCACGGTACAGCAATATACCGGGGATTCTTAACCAGGAAAAAGGCGAGGACAGTGAAGCCCTTTTGTGGTAAGCCACTGTTGTCTACTTCAGCATGGGAGAAAAATCTAACACCCCTCATTTGCATTGTTCATGTGGAGCTGCCATTTAGACTTGTAAAAATCAGACTTTTTGACACCACCCACTGTTCACCGATCTCTAAAGTCCTCATTTAATACTTCTTTGGATGACTGTCTTTTATCTGTCCCCTCTTTATCAACAACCACTGTTCACAGATCTCTAAAGTCCTCATTTAATGCTTCTTTGGATGACTGTCTCTTATCTGTCCCTTCCCTCTTTATCAACAATTGAACCCAGGGCCTCTGCTCTGAGCTCCATCCCCAACTCTTCTCTTTTTATTCTGAGATATAAGAAATGGTCTCACTAATTGCTGAGATGCCCAGACTGGGCTCAAACTTGTTATTTCCTGCCTCCCGGCATGCTAGGAATCAGGTCTATGCCATCATGCCCAGCATAATGAATTCTTCTCTTGAGGAATTTTTTAATTCTCTGAATTCTTACAATTTTCTCAGTTGCTTCCCCATGGTCCACAAATCCCACCTTATTAAGTTAGTTACATGTTAAGTTATTAACATGAAATCATGTTCTCATTCCTACCCCACTTCTTGCCATCCCATTTCCATTAGCAGTTTCTACCCACCACATCAAGTCAAGAATGGGCTTCATCCACCCTAACCCAGCTACCTCACTAATCATATCCAAGCCACCACCAAATCCTGCAAACAGTAACTCCTTCAGAAGCAGGCTGTGTAGGTCAGTGGTAAAGCATGTGTATAGCATGCGTGAGACCCAGGGCTCAATAAACAACACCAAAAAATCAACAGATAATATCTCCTTTGTATTTTAAAAGTCTTCCTATCATAGCTGTTGTCACTACCTTAGTTTGGTCCCTATCAAGTCACCTGGGTGCCAAATCTAAGTGACATTTTTATCATTATCCCAATCCCTATGAAGCATGTAATACTACTAAGCTCTCTAAAACCCTTTCTCCCTTGTCTTCACTCTTACATTCCACAAATAAGTAACGAATGTCCCGCTCTCTGTATTAGCAGCTCTTACTCTGCTCCTCTGAGAATGAAAAAGTGTCTCTCCTCCCCTAATTTCTCCACAAAGACATACAATAGTACAATATGAGGTCAGTGCTACTGTTTGTTTCAATTCACATGTAGCTCATTCCTTTCGTACCAACACAAAAAGAAAAACAGGTCCCAGCATAGTGGCCACATCCCTGTGACAACCCAATCCTATTCATAAGCATGGCACAAAATGCTCTTAGTTATCCAGACCTCACTACCCATCCTGAACTTAGCTCCTCGAACATGACATTCTCTTTCACAACTCCAAACTTCTGTACTACCATTGTGTCCCCTAGGAAAAAACCTTCACTTCTTCTCTGTTGAGGTTTTCTACTCATCCTTCAAGGACCACGTCACATTTTTACTTCTCTAAGCCTTAATCAGACTAAGTCAATTACTCCCACTCCTATGCTTCTACAGCACTACTACTTACCTCCACTAAAGCAGTAAAAATACTTATGACTATTATTTGAGAGGTCTGTCTGCAGGTACTAGAACAAAGATATGATTTGCATTCTCTCAAACTAGCCATTTACAGTACCAGTCTTCAAAAATATCGTTCTATAATATATAAATGAATGACAGTAAACCAACAACACTCAATAAATATTTGGTGAATGGATTGCTGAATGGAGATCTTCATTCATCCACACAAATTATAACTGAGCTTCTCAAGTATTTATATATTCTAATTCAAATGTCACTTACATTTAAGTCTATCAATAGCCATGTTCTCAAACTCTATCAGAGATATGTTTTCAGAAGGTGGCTCCAGGTAAAACTGAAGGCTATGCGGGTAACACGCACTTTTCTGGTCTCCTGCCAACCTCAGCTTTCTTCTATTTCCTCCTGAAAACTGCATTTTGGTTACCTATGGAAGGAAGTGCATTAAAAGTTAAAAAACAGAAAAAATAAAGCATGATTCCACATACATTGAAAAAACATACTTAAGTTGAAAGCATGCACAAAATGTTCAAAGTGGTGATGCGTTTCAGTATTTTTCAGGTTTTCTACAATTACACCTGTTAAAATTCTGTTAAGCAGGCAGGATTGGAAAGATGCAGGGAGTGGTCCTATCCTTTTACAAAACCAGTCAGGTGATGCTCTGCTCACTGCCGGCTTGTCTGTCACCGCCCTTAGATCTCTGTGATTCCCTAAGATGGGTTTTTGGGGGGCTGCCATCCCGAGCTTTGGCTAGATAAGAGACTTAATGGGCTATGTCCTGTCTCCTTCTATCTGATGGCCCTGGGAAGCAGCGTCTTTTGGGCCCGGTGACTCGAAACTCCTTTTGGAAACCTACCACACGGGCTTTTAAAAGTTCCAACCCTGGAACCCTCAAATCCCCTAAGACGGCGGCATCTCTCCTTCACGCACACACACACAACCTCGCCCCTCGGTAAAATCTGTTCTTCTGCTGGGAAAATGATCTTTTTTATTGCAATTTGCAAGCCTCAGTATCAGGTTACTCTCCGTCCTAAATCATGTTGCGAGAGTTTCTTTTCCTAAATCATTTTGCGAGTTTCTTTTACCTGCAAACACCCCAACGCACCAAAAGACCAAGCCAGACCGCTTTCCTCTTGTGGCGGGAGATTTCATTTGGGACCGGAAGCGGAAGTAACAGAAGCGCCAGAAGGCCCACTCCCGGATGTCCCGCCCATCCCCCACCCACTCGGGCCCTGCGCATGCTCAGAAATGTGCGTCTCGTGGTTGAGGGCGTCTCAGGTACTTTACATGCTTAAAAAGTTTTAGGGAGGGATTGTTCTTGTGTTTTTGTTTTTGTTTCGGTTTTTCAACTTATTCTCCCGGATGAGGAGTTGGTAGTTTCTGACAGTTGATGCTAGAGTGCTGGAAAGCTAGCGTAAACAACTTCAGCGTTTCAGTAGCCTTCTGGAAGACCTTGGAGGGACGCGGCCTGCGCGGGGAACGGCGCCATCCCGTCCTTTTCGCCCCCAACGCGGTAGGAACCGGGAAGAGAGCGCCCCTCTTAGCCCTTTCTCCCTCGCCGAATATGTTAGCGACCCCACGAGGTAGGGCTCATCGCTTTGCTGATGAGAAAACAGGCTGTGAGGAATCATCAGTTACTCTTCTACACAAGATACACCCTTCGTTTCTTTCGAATGCAAGCCCAGTAGGACCTGGTTCCACACAATGCTGGCCCAGCGCAGTGTTTGTACAGTATCTCAGTGGGAGCGCGCACTCCCAGAAAAAATGTAACCACGAGATAGCAGGCTCGCAGAAAAACGAGGGTCCGGAAATTGCTGGCGAGAAAGAGGCTGTGGGACTCGTTTTTTCGGATGCCCACTGCAGACTTGAGCCACCCTGTATAGCTCGAGCCCCAAGAGAAGTTCCGTTGTGGCCCCTAGAGGGCGTGTCTCCCTCAGAAAAGTAGTGCTTAGAGGCCCTGGTGAAATCACCTTGATGTGTTGGGAGGGTTTTTTTCTTTTATGCTTGAGATTTTAGAAATCGTATCAAGCTTCAAGGCACCTACACGATGTGAACTAAACTTCAGTTGTCCTTTGCCTAAGCAATTTACCTCTAAATTTTTATCCCCCAAAATACATAGAATAAGGTGAGTTAAAGTGTTTGTCCCATTTTATGAATGAAGAATAATGAGCTAGAAAGATCACATATTTAGTAACAGAACCAAATTCAACTCTGGGAAGACTGTCCCAAGGAACCACTGAGCTCACTATCTCACTGTCCCAATTCTGTTAATGAGAGCAGAGCCTATTCTTATTTTTTTCTCCTGTTGTCAGATACATAACTGACATCACCTGAGTCAAACAAGACAGCTGCAAACATGTGACCTGCCCTCAAAAGGAAGAAAACTGGAGCACAGACCAAAAGAATACTTACATAAATAGCAGCTCTGTGGATATGAAAAGAATTTAAATGAAATACAAAGGAAAAAAGATGTAAAGAATTGCCTAAAAATACATAATTGTGAATCTAAAAACTTAACAGTGTTAGTTGATAGTTAATTGATTGATGAGAATGCACACAGAATTTGTCAGTTTATTAAAGAAAAATCCTGAGAGACAAACTAAAAAAGGGCTAGATAACTCATAAAGTGTGAAATATCACATAGCAAAGAAATTTTCTGCAAAACTGGCCCGAGGTTTAACAATGAAAATGCTCCATGTGCCACCTATGTTGTTTGTTTAATCTACCAAGGCTTTTTATGATCCTCATGTGTCATGTTTTCCTCTAGTTAGAACCTTCTCCTAAAAAAATATCTTCATCTTTTGGGAACATGCACCACTGGACAATTTGGTAAATGATCTCACGAAAATACACTCACGTCACAAATCACACTCTCAAAAGGTTCATAATCATGTGTAGCTAGTTAAGAGTATCACCAATACATGATTTTAATTTTGTGGGGGGAACACCTTATGTTTGTCTTTAAGATCCCTAAATTGCTTACCACAATATGTTTCAAATTAAAAGATGAAAGGACTGGTGTGATTTTTATAACCAGCTCAGAAAAGTGGAAAAATGGTTATGTCTAACATTGCCAATATCTTACTATATCACACAATAGCTGCCTTTTCATATTAAAAGTCTATTTTAAATCTCAGAAAACAAAGTAGTGTGAGTCTGTTAGCTATTCCAGCATGTTTATTATGTTCCAATGCATTTTTGGTCACTACCTCACTGTGAAGTCTGTTTTCTAAACCTGAGGGAATTGCAATCTGAATCTACATATCACAGCAACAGTAATGCACAATAATGTTACACAGTGCAGTAGCCATTTTCAAATCACACTTTGAAGATTTTATTTCATAAATAAAAATGGGTTGATATAATGCTCAGCCCTGACAGCCTCTTATAAAGAATCTTATAAATTAAAAGTACTGACTTCACAATAAAGAGGAAGAAAACATACATACACAAAAGCATAAGCATCTTGAGAACAGGGATAACTGTATCACTCCCTTTTGTAACCCTAGTTCTGGCACTCTGGCCTTCAACAAATATTTATGCAATAGAATTGACTGCTATGAGAGATACATGAAAAAATGCTGGGTTTAACGTCACATTAAACAGATGGTTTGAATCAAATGTGATTCCACCTTAAGAAGACCTCATCTGAAAACACCACACACATTCCTTCCAGAATGACTTGGCTCCCAGTTTAGCCCATGACAAAACACAGAATACCTTTTCTGAGAGAATTTCCATGAATCATCCCTGCTCAATTTAATCCCCACCCTATGCAATACCAGTTGCAGACAAACTGCCCCACAGAGTGGCCACCCTTAAATGACTGCAGCTCCAGGATTTCTGTACCACAGTGTTCCACAATTAACAGGTTAGTTGCCATGCTGGGTAAATCAAAGTGAGTGTTCATTCTTCCCCAGTGTGGAGTGTGTTACTCTAAAAACCAAGAGTGGAACGAGTTTCTTTACCAACTGAATGTGCTACAAATTCTAACCCTTCTTGCCAAGGAAAACAGGAGCAAGAAGCTTTTTCAGCAGGATAACTGGCCCACACAGACTAGCTTAGCCAACCCCTGTTCACTCTATTCTCCCCATTTCACTGCCCATCTCTGGGTGATGAGTAGGAAAGAAATCTAAAGAAGGCATTTCATCCTTTCTCCCTCTTCTTCATTTTGCTTTTGTTAATCCAGCAGCAAGCAAGGAGCAAGACAAGTAGAGAGAAAGCCATACTCTTGAAGAAGACCTATCTGTCCACATATCAACATTGATTTAGTCGAGTATCTACTAAGTGTCAACATTTTCTATTCTGGGGACACAAAGGTGATGAAAGAGCCAAAATTTCCTGCCCTCATTAAGTCTTACACTCTAATGAGGAAGAGAAACAACAAACTAAATACATTATATGAAAGATAGTGACTGCTAAGCTGGGAGGAGATCAAACAAAGAAGATACAAAGTTTCTAGAAGAGGCCCTGAAATTTTAGAAAGTGTGACTAGGAATGGCTGACAAAATATAGCCATGAAGAAGAAATTAGAGATTGGAAGAATATCTTTGCAGGGAAGTAGAACGCTTATAAACAGGAGAATATATTTGCTCTGCTTTCCCATCCTTCACCTAAAACCACTCTGGCTATCTCTCCTGCCCTCTGATTCTGACTTGAACAGAATATACAAGTGGCTTTTTATATCTCTGCTTACAGTTAGGTTCAGTCAATGAAGAGCCCTAAAAGATAAAGCAGAGAAGGAAATGAGGTCAGTGTTTTCTTTCCTGTAGCTGCCTCAGTACAAGGCAGCGTGTGTCCCTCAACCTGTCATTGCACCTGTTAAGGTGGAGGTCATAAATGACTTGCTCTGAGCCCAATAACTGCCCCCCTTCCTTTGCTTGCCGGCCTAGAAACAATACTGACCTAATTTTCATTAAGTCCTCCTGGATGGCTGCACCTACCTGTTTAGTTCCCATGCCTTTGTGAAAAATCTCTGAAAAAATCCTTGAGCTAGCCTATTTTGAACATGTGACTTGTCTCTTGTTGGACTCTCACTGATAAAATTCTACATTTATATGTTTCAAAACAAAAATGAAATAAGATATTGTTCAGAGATACATACTATACATTAGAGGTAGGAAAGGATTAAGTTCCAGACTGGGTGGTTGCGCCAAGGAGGAAAGGGGGAGGCACTGAGGGGAGCCCTTCTGGCTTCTCCTTTCTGTCCCCATTAGACACAAGACGGATCTTCTAAGACTGTAACAGAAGCTGAGATTTTGGGGCATGGACTGCTGAATACTCTGCGAAGAGGTTTCTTGAGAAACAGATGTGCTGGCAAATGATGGTCCTCTGCCACTTCCAGCCACATTCTAGAGAGCTCTCTGACAACAAGCTCCTCTTTCTTGTCTGTGCCTCATCTCTAAACCTCTCGGGCACCAACATCCAAAAGGGTGTCCTGAGATTCACTGCCCTTCCCTCAGTTCCTAACGGTACTTAGAGATGAAGTGCACCCTTTGCTGTAACAGTATAGGAGGGGTCACCAAGAAACTCCAGACCCAGCTTACCCTCCTTGCTGGCAGAAGGAAGCCGCTGTCACTTGGAGTAACAGATGCTCACCTGAATAAGAGGCTTGAGGCTGGCCTTGGATAGAAAGATGAGTCAAGGACTAGAAGCCATTGGAAATTTAATTTGATAGCTTTGTTTTTAGTTTATCCACAGGGTAAGAGCATGAGGTGAACTGAATCTCACCCTGAACATAGATCATAGCAACTATTGGCTCTTGAGGCTATTTTCAGATAAGGAAGAACAAAAAGACATCCAGTAAAAAAAAATCTGACCTTGATTTAACCATGTAGAAGTAATTTTAATATAGGTATTTATGAACTGCTTATCATTTATAAATAACAGGCATTTCATGATTACTCGACAGAATTTATTAATTAGTCCTAATTATTCATGCCAACTCAAAGTATCCAAAGATTATAAGAAATATCTGTTTTTAGTAACCCAATCTGGAGCCTAACAATATGGTATAATGTCCTTTGTTGCTCTTATTCTATTTAAATTTAAACTAGACTGAAGTCCATTGTGCAAAACCAGTCTAGTTAGAATCATCATACTGGTGTTTAATTCAATTGATGTAAAGAAAGAGAACCTCAGAAAAGAAAGCAACCAAGGAAATACCCTGAAATACAATTTTACTTTGTGTGTCACATTTGATAGCATTTTTCAATGTACAGTTCCTATAACCTGCTACATGAGAATTTTTAAAGTAAATCAGTGATTTCACATGAATTAAATCCTGGTGACTTTAGCTGTGCTCTGTTTGGGTTCAATGAATGTTTCAATTTTTTGCACTCCTACCCTACTCCTTGGCACAAAACAGACACTCCATAGCTGTCTACTGAACTGAATCAAACTCTTTTATGTTTATTTCTAATTCCAGGTGGTTGTCATTTGTAATTTCCCACAGAAGATGCGTTTTCACTGAAGATTTTGGCCTTGCTACTGAAATTCCTGATCAAAATGTTTTCTCTCAGTTGGACAATTTTTGGAAACCAAAGTAGGTGTAAATATGAACTTATTATGGTGCCAAGATTTCATTCCAACTTGACTGATTGATACATCCAAAAGTTGGTATTTTCCACTAGAAAATGATCTTAAAATTTCAGAAAATAGGAATCAAGGAATAAAAATTAATAGACCTTACTCTGCCTAATGTAAACACTTCAAGATGCTGGGTACAGATCTGGGTACAGAGAGGAAATGAACTCTACTGACATGTGAAACCATCTTTTCTCTGTTTTCTTTTTGTTAGGCAACAAAACATTAATCAGGGCTTATAGGGTGAAAACTTCATCTTTGAAGAAGTATGGTTTTTCCTGGGATGTTTGATCTTTTGGGCCAGTCTTCCAGAAGCTGTATGTACTGGGACTCCACCCTTAACCGAGTCTCACTACTATTTCCAGGCCTCTCTGCCCAGAGGGCCCTCGGCAGAGGGTGCCAATCCAGGGCTCCAGCCTCTTTCACAGAGATGGGCTCCCTTTCCCACCCCACCCCCTGTCACACACACACCCAGGCCACACAAGCAGTGTTTAGAACCAAAGACAGCTCTTTCTTAGTACATTCATGAAAGAATTAGATTGTTTTGTGCTTTTTCCAGTTGAATACAAGGAGCAGTTGTTTTTCTATAATCTCTGATTAGTGAGTTTCACTGTGGGAATTCTCTGCTATGTAGACATAATCTAATTTTTGTTTATGATGCACTAAACCCAGATTTTTCCCATTATATTTGTTTGCTAATGATTTTTGGCATTGATAGCTCACATAGTTCTCAAAGAAATCTTATTTATATGACCAAACCTAAGGTTTTCCCAACCAATGGAATCTCTGAGGTCCCTCATTCTACTATAATTTTCACTTTCTTTCCATTTGCCTTCTGTTTTTATGTTAAGCTTTAAAGATTTAATAAAATGTGTATCTCTTATCATCTGGAAGGCTCTGTTACTTCCAAATCGTGCCCTGTGGCTTCAGTACAAGCCAGTACTGTAACCCCAACCCCACATACAATCATCTGAAATGACATAGTTTGGCTTGCAGTGTGTTGGTAGCCTGTCTAGCTGTGCTTAGATTTGTGCAGTCTAAAATCAAAATGTCAGACATAACCTTGCATTACCATCTCTTATTTCTGTTTAGAAAATTCAGTTGTCAATTTGGACTTTTTCCCAACAGTTATGAATATACAACTAGCTGCTATTCTTGCAGTTACGTTTTTGCAATTATGACATTTTTATGAATAAGTCTTTACATTTCTTAAATTTCTTATTAAATAGTAAGTCAAGATGTGGCTTGATATTTTGAAGTCAAATCAGTTTTTAAAAATAAAGTATTTTTTTAGAACATAATTAAGGAGAACTCAAACATGGAAAGATTTCATTGGTGCCAAATATGACAAATGATAGTTTGGTTTGCTGAACAAACTAAGATTTCATATTAATGGAAATAGAGATTTGTGATAGGTCAGGAATTGTCATGGGTTAGTTTTGGGTTTTTGTTTGTTTTGTTTTTTGGTTTTTTGTTTGTTGTTGTTGTTGTTGTTTTGAGACAGGATCTCACTCTGTAGTCCAGGCTGGTCTTAACTCTTGGCTATCCTGCCTCTGCTTGCACCAGCACACCTGGATGGGATAGATAATTTAAGGATGTTTGTGAATCTGCCTACCTGTACAGCCCATGTTCACCTACTGTCAGGAGACGTGCTATTTGATTCTGCCTGCAGGTACAGCATCTTACCATAGGACACAAGCAGTCTATGTAAAGTATATATACAATAAGGGCTTCTTAGCAGGATTTTCTCTCTTCTGTTTTTTAGTGAACAATTAAACTGAGTGACCTGCCAATCAATTGTCATTTTTTAAAATCTAAAAACAACAACGACAACAATGACAATGATCCAGATGAGAAGCTACTGTGCTCAGAATTAAAAACAAGAAAAAGAGTGACTAAATCTTTCTATTATTAATCTCATCATATGCTCTTCAATTTCAGCAGAATACCAACCACACATTAAATTAATATTAGCCATTTTAATTTTATTGTGTGTACAATTTTGTTTGTGCTTAATATGCAAATGTACTTAGGTTTTGTGTGGGTATTTTAGTTCAAAGTATATACAAATTATAAAAAAAAATAGATCAACTCTGGGTATCCTCAATAATTTTCTCTCTCCTTTTTTTCTTTTCTTTTCTTTTCTTTCAGTACTGGAGCTTGAACCCAAGGCCTTCACACTGAGCTACTTCCTCAGTCTTTTTATTTTGAGAAAAAAAATTCTCATTAAATTGCCCAAATTGGGCTCAGATTTTTCATCCTCCTACCTCAGCTTCCCAGAGAGCTGGGGTTACAGTCATGTACCACTGAGCTGGGCTAATTTTCTTCCTTTTACATAGTTAGCTGCATAGCTCAAACTTGGGAATTACTAGTCTAATCATAAAGTAGATAAATAGTAAATCTTTTGATTTGTACTTATTAAACATAGGATAAGTGCTATGAAGTAATTTAAAGTGATTTTTGGCAAATTTAGATATTTTACAAAACATTCATCTTTTTAAAAATCAATTATCTCTTTCTGCTTGAACATTTTTTTTAATTATAAATAATGTGCTGTAACAACTGTGTTCTTTCCAGAATGCTCTGGCTTAAGGTAGAAATGGTAAGCCTATGGTTATTCTTAGAAAGATAAACACAGTTAAAACCACTATTTCAAACTGCTCAATATTATTTGGAACATCCACTAGCCCTAATGAAGTTCCAAAATATTAAGGAAAAAGATACGCATTAGTAGTTGTGTCTTTGAAAGATAAAGATTATACTTTCATTGCTATGATAATTTATATATTTCTCTTTTACTCATATGTGAATAACCAAGCAACAACTTTTAATTTTTATATTGACACAAAATTTTATTTAGAACTCAATAACTACCCTTGAAATTATTGAAATACATTGAAAAGTTCTAGGGGAAAAATGTAAAAGTCAAACACTTGTTGATGAGTCAAGAATGTACTTAAAGGGGCTGGAGGTTTAGCTCAGCGGCATAAGTGCCTGCCTTGCAAGCAGGCAGTCGTGAGTTCAATCCCCGGTACCGATAAAAAGGAAAAAGACAAAAAAAATAAAATAAAATAAAATAATGTACTTAAATAGATAAGCTTAAAGATTCAAGAGTTAAATAACCTGAAAATTGGGGTCTGGGGATTTAGCTCAGCGGCATAAGCACTTGCCTTGGAAGGAGGCGGTCGTGAGTTCGATGCCTGGTACCGATAAAAATGAAAAAGACAAAAATAAATAAATAAATAACCTGAAAATAGATATATAGACCAAGTTTTTAATATATTTAATTGTAATTCTGCTAAAAAATAAGATAGTAACTAAATAATATAGCAGATATTTCATGTTTAAAATGTGTTTTTCCTGAAACATTTTATATTCTCTGTATAAGAGGCTCAGGTAAGAGTATATTTCATAGTTAGTAGTTCAATTTGGGAGTGAAACCAGTTGAAATTTGAAAGCAAGATCTTGTGACCCCTCAGAATGAGGCAGAACGTCCTGTTTTAGCTTTGACATCCACGCCCTCACTGGGAATGTTTTCTGTCCACCCAGGATTGGCACTGTGGAAAAGGAGAAGAAAGCAGAACCAAAGCTCCATCCTGTTCATCTTAACTCTCTCTCAAACTCAACACTCAAATAATCCCCAAGAATCTGGTTGCTTCAACTCCTCCGTAGTAATGTCTGTGTGCAGAAAACTGCATCATGATTAGCAGTCTTTCCTCACTTTATTCTTTAGGTGAATCCTGGCAAACCATGAGATAAGAAGCTCCCAGGGCCACTGCTCCAGTTCTTCAGACCTTCATGCCCTGTTGATCAGACATCAGCACCAACTGGGGTTCAGATCTGTTGCCATCTTTAAAGGAAGTGGAAAGAGTAATAAAACTCTGGAATGATCCTGTCACAGTAGGAACTGACGCTGTGGTGTTCTTGCTTAAGGCGCAGCCAGAGTGCACTTCTGTTTTATATAATAAAGATTCTTCAGCGAAAAGAAAAAAAGACCCAATCGTTGCATATTTAAAAATCACTTATTTTCCCAAAGCCTTTCTCTCACAACAAGTTTGATAGTAGAATGACATTTAACTGGTATTACGGTTTGCTTCTCTGTGTCTCCCCCAATGCCTCATATAGTCATAGGTGGGATCTAGAGTATGTGAGGCTGGGATTAATTACTTCATGGTGGAATGCTAGGCTCAAAGGCATTAGGATGAAGGGTGTGAGTGCACCCACCTTGAGAAGCATGGATAAGATATAAGGGATAGAAAGTTGCACTGGTACCTTACTTTGCCACCTTCTGCCCATCCTTGGATTGTTTCACCTCTGGTTTGTCTGCTCTGTTACTCTGCCTTCAGGCAGCCAGTTATGTACTGAAACTTCTATGAACTGTGACGTTTCAGTCCCTTCCACCTTTAACTTAGGATGTGGGGTATTTTGTCTCAGCAATGAGAAAAGTAACTAACATAACTGCCAACACGCCCTGTGTTCTTTGGGTAAGACAGAAACCCTTTGAATCAAGATATTTTATAATAAAGAGTGGCACCTGGTGCAGCAAGAGGAAGAGAATAAACATGAAAATCTCCTTTAGCATGTCTGCTTAGCCCAGGAAAAAGAGGTGTGTCTCAGTATAACCATGAGCACCACTTTTCCCAAAGGCAGAACCAGAACTGTATTAATAGGGGAAATAGAAATCCAAATTTAAACTAAGACGCAGCCAAGAAAATTAATGTCTATTTTTGAGAAATGTGTTCATTTATTAAGCCAACTAAAAAGAAACTAAAGCTTAGTTACTCTACTGATGGGAAGGTTAAACTCCAACTAGAGGACACATTAACCACAGTCAGGGAGCTGGAGCCCACCACAGCCCTATCCTCAGAGTCCCACAAACATACGTAAGTATACACACAGGAGACAAGAAGGTAGTGAACAGCAAGTGTATGCACCCACTCATACTTACCTTACCTGACCACAACTGTAGCTAGATGTCAGTGTCACCCACATCTCCTCTCCCTAGAAATGGTAAGGCTGCTGGACCAAGATACTTGAAGCCCCAGTTGGTCGTGAGGATGGAAGAGACTGAAAAACCAAGTCTCACATGGCACGGAATGTCCAAAGTGAATCACACTTATCCCTCCTATATTGTAAGCAATTTCTGAAAATGCCTTAATGCTTTAATAAAAGATTTCATCTGTGTATACATAGCATGAACAAAGTGCTAAGTGTGTGCACGTGTGTGTGTGTGTGTGTGTGTGTGTGTGTGTGTAGCAAGGGTGTCTGCTCTAACTCATCCACCTGGGCCTATGATGGATTTTCCAAGCAGTTCTTGGCAGAAGAGACCCACACCTAGTACCACCATCATCACTGGCTGCAGAAGAAACAAAATTCCTCTGGCCCTGAGGAGTGTAAGTTTCTGGTAAATGCACACTTTTGGTTTGGCTAAGATTGCTGAACAGCAGACCAAAGACTATAAGAAAGAAGAGGTGACAGATTCTTAGCTGACTTCCTAAATATAAGTGTATGCCAGCTCATCTTCTGACTCGTATATATTCACCCTTTATTAAGCGCAAAATTATTAGGCTCAATTCTTCGGTGAGCTCAGAGAAATATATATCTATCCATTTGCCTGATGATTCCTTCAACGAGAAAAATTGTTGGATTCCAACATATAAGGTGGATAGAGAAGGCAACATGAGAGACAAGGAATTCAGGAAGTTATCATATGATCATGTTATCATCATATCATGGCCACTTAGTCCAAGGCCATGATTCCCAAATACTGGTGTTAAAAGTAAACTAGATCCCCAGCCCTAGTGTGTGTGTGTGTGTGTGTGTGTGTGTGTGTGTGTGTATTTTTGAGACAGGGTCTTGCTATGCAGTTCATGCTGGACTTGATCTCATTATATAGCCCAAGCTGACCTTGAACTCACAGCAATCCTCCTGCCTCAGCTTCCCGAGTGCTAGAATTACAGACATGTACCACCACAAATGACAAAACGTTTTTATTTTGAGAGAGGCTCACTATATTGCCCAGGCTAGGCTGAAACTTGTGATACTTCTGCCTCAGCCCTCCAGAGTGCTACAATTCTAGGCATGTCATTTCACTCCGCTATAAAAGGCTTTCTTGTGCATGATCTTATTGCTCATTGGAATGAGAGAGAGACACTGACTCAGATACAAAGAGAATTGTCCACAGTCAAAGGGCCAATACTACCAAGGAAGGTTGAGAACTTAGGCATTCTGCTTCCAGCCCTAGTGTAACAGGCAGTGTGAGATAGAACTGGCAGAGCCTGATGATAGACAACACAGGAGACTAGGCAGGGGAGGCAGGGGGATAGGGAAATATTTACAGAGTTAAAAATAGGTTTGTTTTTAAAATGCTGGCCTCATACATACTAGGGAAGCATTATCACTGAGTTACATCACCAGCCCTTTGTTTGTTTGTTTGTTTGTTTGTTTGTAATAGAGGTTGAGGTCAAATACCTGAGCTCAAGCAATCCTGCCTTAGCCGCCTCTAAAGCTGAAAATACAAGCCATATGTCACTGGTTTGTGATATTTTTATTTGTTTTTATCTTTTACTACCTGTACTTAATGCAAAAATGAATTTTCTTTATATTACATTTTTATACTAGTGTGCTACTTCATGCTAATCTGGTGTTTGGCCTGTGACCTTTTTATTTCCTCTTTTCAAAGGTATGATAAAAAGATTTTTAAAAGAAAGCTTTGTTATTTATACACATGAGCTACATCATATACTTTATATGTGATCCAAGATATTTTCTCTTCACATAAAGAGAAAAAGAGGGCAAAACAGGCAGGCCAGGGTCAGACATACTTTTTACGTAGTAAGAGGAGAGGCGCACAAGAGAATCTATAACTTTGCTCAAGGGTTCAATCTTGTGGCTATTAAAACTTTGCTCTCAGAGACTTCCAGAGAACATGGCAGAGAGATAACAGTAGCTACGTAGGCTCTCTGAGATACCCAGCTTAGAATCCAGGAATGGTACAGTGTGAAGAGCCCTAAGCAAGGGGAGATATACCCTGCCGACCCAGGAATGAACTAAGCTGAGAGAAACCAACTGGAAATGCAATCCCGGTGCTATAACTAGAACAGACAAAATCTCAGTGCGGGAGCTGGAACCTGTGCCTCTGGAAGGCACAATTTGAATTTCCTTCCACTGCTGCTGCGTCTGAATCAGCACAGCAGGGAGACAGACATGCGAAAACTCTGAGAGCGGAGTTGAGAGTGGGATTGGCAGGGAGCCCTGAATCAACCTGCGGTGAGTGAGAAGAACGGGGTCCTTTCCATAGGATAGGAGGCTCCAAAAGATGACGTTCTGGGACCGGGCAGACTAGCTGGAAGAGGATGCTGCAGTGACTTCAGTCACATAATCCCCTCTCAATTGGGATTGGTGCAGAGCACTTGGCCTGGGTGACGCCACTGACTAAGACCTAGTAGGCTAGCCCAAACCAGGTCCCAGCACCTAGCTGTGCACCCTAGCAGTGAAGCCTTCAGTAGGTTGACCTGGAGGGGCGGGCCCAGCAGAGGCTGCCCAGGTCTGTGTCTCCCTAGTACACTGCAGTGGGTGGGAACACCTAGCTAGCGGATTCAAACAAACTGTAACCAACAAAGATAAAAACTGGGCCTCCTATATACACTTGTATGGAAGGAACAAAAAGTGTGGAAAGAGGGAACAACAAGAAAGGGTCCTCAGTCCCCAATCCTGAGAACACTGATCCAGGAAAGGTAAATGCAAAGGAGAATGAGGACAGAAAACATGCAATATCAGACATGGCACCAATAGACATAAAGCGATATCTCCGGAGCCTCATAGATGAGTTCAATAGTGAAGTATTTAATGGCCTAAAGCAAGATATAAGTAGAATAGTTAGAGAAATGCTAAGCACCGCCCAAGAAAATACAGATGGTGGAATGGAAGAACAGAAAAAAAGGGGAGAATTGTTTCATGGAGAAAATAGAGAAAAATAGAATACGGGAAGCAGGTTCAAAGAGATTACCAGGAAACTAAAAACTCTATCGAAAGCTGGCATAACAGGTTGAAAGAAACTAAGGATAGATTATCTGAACTGGAGGGCAGATTTGTAATGTGGGGGCATGAAATGAAAAACTTCTTAAAAATAACAAGAAAACAAACAGCAATAATACAAAGGCTAGAAGATGATAGAAGGATCTATAACTTAAGAATCAAGAACATAAAAGGAGAAGTAGGGACACAAACAAATGAACTACAAAAGCTACTCACAGAAATAATCTAAGAGAATTTCCCTAATTTAGCAAAAGATAAAGATACACAGATGTATGAGGCATACAGGACCCCAGCCACCTACAACCCAAACAGAGCTACACCCAGGCATATAATAATCAAAATTCCAGAAATCCAATATAAGAACAGAATATTAAAAGCCATTAGAGACAAGAAACAGATCACTTACAAGGGAACACCCATCAGAATTACAGCAGACTTCTTGGCACAAACCATCAAATCACAAAGAGCATGGGGGGGAAATAATTCAAGCTTTGAAAGATAATAACCTCCAGCCAAAATTGATATATCCTGCACAACTGTCCCTAGAAATTGATGGAAAAACAAGGTGCTTCCTTGTTTTTGAACTTGGGGAATTCCTATTAACTTGATTTGAAACCCTGTATTGCTCTCACCATCTTGTTTTGACTGATTTTACTCTATTCTGTTTTGCTTGATAGTACCAAGTTCAAAAGAGGAACTAGGGGAATTTGCAATCACCAGTTCAACTCTACAGAGAATACTGCAGGATATGCTAAAAAAGAAAAATACCAAGATTCCAGAAACAGTGGCAGAGAGGCCACAATGAATGGAGCAGAAAGCGAAATGAAGAAGACAAACTGACAACTAATGACAGAAAAAGAGCTCAACAGAAATGAGACAGAGAAGGTTGGATGGTAGGAACAGCTATTTTGGAGAAAACAAGACATCACAATAGCTAGTGCTGATTTAGTATCATC